TAAACTTCTACCAGACTGATTTCCACTAAAATCTCTTCCAGCTGACTTTTGGATATCGCATGTAAAATTAATTTAAAAGAACGAGCAGGAATATTTACGATGACATTCGATAAATTCGACCGTACACATCGATCATTTAATTAATACGGAGAGTGGAAAATAATAAATTTGGTAAGATCCGGTAAAATTTGACCTAAAGTCAAGGCAGACCGTCTCGGGCCCGATTTGAACACGGGACCTCCCGAGCACGAAGCAGGACAGTTAATCTAACGTTCCGGAGGTTTGCAATGGTCTATCGTTCATACAAGACTATGAGTTGTATCGATTGTCAATTCATCATGTGAATTCAATCGATTTATATATCTGTGTACATTAACTACAAATTTTAGAATCTGACAACCCTAGAAGACGAAATGTAAACTTTCGTAATTTTCCGTTCAAAACCAGAACGTAAATGTATAAAATATTGTTCTTATTACACCAATCACCCTCAGACCACCGTACACAGGTCTGTCCCATCTTGTGGATTGTTTTTTAATCCGACACGTGACCCTGGATGTATTTCGGGCTATAGAAAGAAGCGGGAAGTCTTTTTTCATAAGTTGGTATGAATGCACAGACAGTCGAAGTGAACTGCGAGGTAACATAACCTCAAACTTATCATAATGTCAGTACAGCTGATTAGGTGATGGCACAAAGGGTCAGATATCGACATAAGACGTTCTTGCCCTCTTGTCTGTGACACCAAAACAAAACACATGAGGGCACGCGTAATGCAATAGCCTTCCTTTGTCTCAACCCGCCTCGCGTTGTTCTTTTGTCTGTTTTCACATCTTGCCTCCAGGTTCTTATTAACTTCGCGTACAGTTGGTACGTTTAAAATGTTAAATAATATTTTTAAATTGTTTTTTAAAAAAAAATCAATATATCCTACATGAATTGTGACAACTTTTCGAAACATGCTTGTCGTTTATACAACTTTTAGGAATTTATATCCCTTTAAACCTGTTTCTCGAATTATAATCATCAGTCTTCTACACAGGGGCACACTAGAATGATGGTCGCGAACACCACAGGGGTGTACAAAGGTTACAAACAAGGCATGAGGCATCATATTTGGCACAAAAATCAGTGTCGATTAAAACTATTCTCGAAATTAAAATTCTCGTACGTTTTAATTCCAACAAACATTTGTCGTCATTGTATTTTCTCTCACTGTCATGATTATTATCTTCAATATTCTTCGATTTAAATATATTTTTTTAGCCCTTATTCTACAGTTGTCTGTTTAATGTGAATTGGCCTCGTTTACAGGCGCTAAAAAGTTTGTTTTACTTTTCTGTATTTTTAATTTCAAACATAATATGAGCTGAAAATGTGTTATTTGCGGGATAAGAACAGGAAAGCTTCATTGTATTACACCACCAGGTGGATGGTTGTAGGTAGTGACGGCGAAGCCACTGTTCATTGATTTTAATGGTCCATGGCGTAATGTTCGAACAGAAAAAATTCTTTATGGTAAGTTTTCAGTTTGCTTATACAATGACGCGTTATCAAGTATATGAGATGATAGCTTGTACACAAATTAAAATTCTGGATATTTATGTTTTGCAAACCTAGAAGACGAAATGTAAACTTTCGTACTTCTCCGTTCAAAACCAGAACGTAAGCAGAGACCCAAAATGTATAAAATATTGTTCTTATTACACCAATCACCCTCGGAGCACCGTACACAGTTCTATCCCATCTTGTAAATTGTTTTTTTTT